TCTCCAAACCTATGTTTTGCTGTGAAAGAATCACAGTCGACCCCCCCCACCCCCCCCCATCCTGTGATATATCACACGATCCTTCGTTTTCAAGACCTTGACAGCCACTACTGCTAAAGCAAGACTAAACTCAAGCCTAGCTCCGCTAGCTTTCGTGACATGGCCCGAGAGGCGCAGCGACGTAGCCAGTAAAGCGCCGCCGGCGAGGATACAGAAACACGAGGCGGCAAATGCGTAAGTATCCGTCAGAGCCCAAGATCGTGCAAACGATTGATGTCCCTAAAACTGGTTATTACCGCGAACCCTTTTCCCAGCGGCCTCATTTTCATGGCGGCTAGCACCATCAGCCCAATCTGACTTCTCTCCGAAACGCCCGCCAAAACCTTCCAAATCAAGGTCGGCTTTTGACGATATCAACAAAACCGGCGAAAGCTACTTGGCCTTTTGTGTGGGCCAGAAGCTCCACCAGTGGTCTGAGCTGAGCCCAGTGTGTTTGAAGCTTGGGACCCTCCAGAACTCCGGCCCGCGTTCCCAAACACTTTCAGGAACCTGTCACGCCCCAGAAGTTTGATTGGCAAAGTCTGACCGCACTCCTTGAATGAAAGCATTCGCGGCTGTCTCCGCTGAGGTTCCTGTACTGCACCTTTCTGCAAAGTCTGGCTTAGTGGAGCGGGCTTAGTGGAGCGGCACAGCAATCCTGCACTTGAGACGGCCCCGGACATCATCCATGTCCGACGCTCGCTCAGTCGACGAGTTTCATCTGAATCGTCCGTGCAGCTTGCAACCACGCATGGACGTCAACTGTAAAGGTGATTGGGCACACGCCTGAACCCTTACAGCCCAGATACCACGTGCCCAACACATGGCCAAACTGGGCCAACTCGCAAAGAACTCCATCAACTTACAGGACTCTGCCCTGACCTGCTTGCCAGACTTAACACCATTGAACCATGCATCAGCTACCCAACAAAGAGGATGGGCCACAGTCACCAAAATGCGTGACATAGAGAAAGCATGCCACCACAAACATGATTTCCGGGGTGGACGTTGCCATCGCTAGCTTGACAAGTCTTACCCCATGCCCACACCAAGCAGATACTCCCACCCTGCGAAAAACCGAGTCCATAGCCGTCCCTGCAATTGCTCCACGCAAGCGGAGATTTGCTGACTCAAGGGATGCCTCGGTGACAACGTAGCGACGAGCACAGAGTCGCAAAGCGCAAAAGACTTGACAGCTGCACCAGCCGAGCATTATCGCAAGTGTTCTGAAGATATGAAAACTTGTTTGCTTCGCGCCAATGCAATCTCAACGTGGGGCTCTGCAGGAGGCTGTGCTTCACTCAGCTTGCAGCTCCTCCCCCAGCTCTTGCAAGCAGCTGTCATGAGCCTGCTGCATACTTCTTCTGCGCTAAACTAGTGCACTCCAGATTTTGATTGCGAGCGGCATGCTGAGCGGACCACCCTTTGGTAGTGCCACAGTGCTTCTGCGGGCTTCTTCAGATGCTCGTACTCCGCACCCATATTGAAGTATGCGACGCCTCTGGTGATCTAAGCTACTACCATCAACAGCCCTTTGCAGCTGCACGAGCACCTGAGGCTGTTGCAAATCAAGCTTTCGCTGTTGGTGCTCCCAGCTACAGGCGGTAGACCTGTGGAACAATCAGTCCACGGCTGTGCCCGATAAAAAACGCCACAAATGAGTGCCCTGAGTTGCTGGACTGCTGCCTTCAGGAGGCTGAGACTGAGGTTGCCTGGGCAGAAATCGTGCTGTGACGGTCGTGCCCAATGCGCAAGCTCAATCTGAGGTCCATTCTGGGCTTTTTGGGCAGCCTATCATCACAAATTGTCGTCACAATACCATGGAACGCAGATGCAAGGTGCACCTCCAATTTTTTCAGAGCTTTGTCTGCATGTTGAAGCGCCTGGATCGGGAGCTAAACGGGACTGCAAGAAGGAGTGATGGTCTCCAAGATTCCCCAAGAACCATGCTATGTCAAGATTGCGGGGGAAGAAGAAGGTGAAAGAACAGGAGCCACTGCCATGCTTTGATGCAGTGGGAAAATCTGCCAAGGATTGGATGTGATTGGGTCCCAGAGTCCTTTACGCTTTCTGACCTGCCGACAACCTCAAGGTCGCAGTAAGGCAAAGGAAGAGATCTAGGGTCCCTCAGCACCAAAAAAACTTGGAAGTAGATGACTTGAAACGGTTGGCCTCTTGATGCTTGCCCATCTGCGACAAAAGCGCGCACAAGTTCAAGTGTGTACCTGAGAAGGCACGGTTGGCCAATCTCTGTTGTCTGGAGCAACTTTTTCAGTCTGTTGAAAACATAAATGTACATTTTTTCGTGAAGCGATGCTGCTGTAAACGGTTCTGGCTGCTGTGAGGATTAAGCTTGACATTAACTGGTTGCAAAAAAGCTTGAACAACTTTCGCTCACCTCACTTCCAGTCCAGCCTGCAGGATTTTGACATCTGCCCCGTGACCTTGCTTGCTTGTGGGTGATTTTCAGAGCAAATTCTAACAACCCAAGAAAGAAGCTCTCTGAGAAGCCAACTGTTCCTCAATTCTTTGCGCTTTTTTGAGGTACTGCAACGCTGTATGGAGCCTCAGTCTGCTGGTTCAATGAAGTGAGGGCTGATCGCCATCTTTTAACCTTATACGCCTATTGTTTGCTGGGTGTCCGGGATTGTTAAGCTTGGAGGTTTTGGGGCTTTCGTTTTTGCGTTCTTTGTTTTTGGGGTTGCGTGGTTTAGGGGCAGATTGGAGGGCTTTTTGTTAAAGGCTCAAGCTCGAGACTTCGTCAAAGAACTTACGGTCACGCTCCGTGAAGGTAGGCCCTGGAGGTGCCCACATCCGAAGCAGCGAGCTGAGCCGACTTCCAGGCCATCAGCAAGGCCCCGCAGCAAAGACCGTCAAGCAAATATGTTTTTTGGTAAAAAGACCGGTCAGGCCCCTAGCGACTTCAGCAGCATCATCTGGCAGCAAAAGTGTTTCGGCCTCAGCGAAATCGCCACCTAAAATGGGCGACGGGCACACGTCCTGCGTCAAGAAAAAGATGTCGTACGATTCGTACGTTTACCAAACAGCTTTCCATTAGCGTCATCATCAGCAGATCATCATCCCTGCCGTCGTCGTTGTTATCGCAATCAGCATCATCAGCATCAGGATCATAAAAGCATCCCACGGCGTAGGCTGCATGAAAAATTAATAAACGGTTTGCGCGTGCAATCCAAAACCTAGCAGACACAGGCCAAATGCCATGGCATCAAAACACGTATCAGTTGTGGAGCGGTCACATCGAAACATAAACCATTTGCAGTCCGAAAATGAAGCCTGCCACCGTAGCGCTGCGCCTGCGCCCAAGAACTGCCGCATTTTTGGGCCGGCCCGGAAGGCTGAAATCAGAGTCATGCATAAGAAGTGTTGTGCAGTCAAAGGTTTACTCGCAGTGCTGCAACGTCTGCAATGCGGCAAGCACATTGAGCAGCAGCAGCATGTAATTGCTGCACAAGGCTGTACCGCTGACGTCGGACATGTAAACAGATTTTTTGGACGACGACACAATCTTCTCTCAATTTGTTGCCGACGTGCTCTTACTCCACTTTGAAACCCGCCATCCATTCAGAACAACCCAAGCCTCGCCCCCTGCAAAAAAAACACATCCGCCTTCTTTTCGTGCGAAAATTCCAGCAAATTTGTTGAAACCTCAAGCGCGCGCACACAGCAAACGCCCAAGCGCCCAGTGTCCTGCAGGTGACACAACTGCTTCGAACATACTTTCTGGGAGTTTGGGGGCTTTGGAGGTTTAAGGATCCTAGGCTTTGGGTGTTTGGCGAGTTTGGAGCGTTTCAGGTTTAAGGCCTAGGGCTTTAGGATAAAGGATGGAGGGATGAACCCTTGACATTGTCTTAGGCTTGAGAGCGGTTTCACGGAAAAAGGTCAAAGAGTTCAGGGATCTTTATTTTTGGTAATCTCTCGCCTTCAGGGGCGTCATCATTTAATGTTAACAAGTGTAAGTGCTTTGTGACAGATTCTGCCTTTATGCCGATGTCCAGTGTTTGTCGTTCTTTGGTGCTAGTCCCCTGGCACGAGGCAGTGTGATGCACGTGCGCAAACCAAACTGGTCAGAAACAACATGCGCTCAATGCCCACCGTTCAAGAGCAAATGCGTTGATAGGCTTTGCCTTGCGGCCAAGATCGGCCAGGTAGTAGGCTAGCAGGGGGCATACATTGAACTGCATCTCGCTTCTTCGCATCCTTCTCAAATGCTTCTCAAGCTTGACAACGCCTTTTAGAGCGGACAATCGTGAAGTCGTTTGCGGTCTTCACCGCCTTCCCCATGACTGGAACTCCGTGTGAGGTCATGAGGAGCAAAATCCGCTGAGACCTTCAGAGCAATTGTTGTGATGTACTTGACTTGAAAATGCTTGGACAGCTACACTCTCTTTCCGGGTCCCACGCTGAGCCAATCCCGCTAAACATGCACAAGGCTCAGGCAGCTATGAGACTTGTGAAAGGGTAAGAAGCTTACCCAGCTGTGGGCTCTATTTCCCTCATACCCAACAGCCTATGACTGCCTCATTCGAACTCAAGCGCGCGCCCAGTGAAATGCATCGCAGGACATCCTTGATTCAAGACGTAAGACGTAGTTGGCAAGCAAGAAGCTTCCCAAAGCTTTTGTAGAAGCAGCCCATGTTGTTGTAAGTAACCTGCACCACACAGGTCTCTAAATCGACCGTGCAAGCACATAACAGCCGGCGCACTGCTCTCAAAACCAAGCGAGACTCAGGGTTCATATGCCTCGGGCACACATCAAAGGCTGAGAGCTCAAGTGCACATGCGACCTCATTTCACACTCAGTCGCCCGCAAGTTCGCAGGGTCTGTCAGTGCTTCTGCTTTCTCAAAAAACTTGCAGGACACCTCTGTATTGTTGTCCTGGCTACACTGGCCCAAAACGTATGCGGCAGCGTGCAGGGTCACAACAACAAGCAAACACTCATCCCCAAGGATGCCAACTTCTTGAAAGGCCGACATGCGGTTGTGACACACCATGAGTGTAGCAAAACGTGAGCATCATGTTCACCTTTTGGGGCAACTGCCATCCTAAGCTACAAACAAGCCTGAGGCAAATGAGGCAACTCCGAGCAGTCTCCTTCAAATGCTTCATGCCCAGGGTGTTGTAACCTGGACAGTACAGTATGTGCGAGATGTGCGAGAACCCGACGTCAGCTACTGAAACCTTCATCAACCCTGTGCCAACATGCGAGTGAGGGCCTATAGCCAGGCGCTCGAAGAGGGTCGACAGCATTGTGTCAGGCATCTGCTGCACTGTCGCCTGGTGGAAGGATGTCAAGGGCAAGCTATGCTGACCGCAGAACAGGATTGCAGCGGTTGCTATTCCCAACACTGGCAGGCATGCGCCTGCTCTGCACGTAAGACAGCTTCCAAACACCGCACAGCACCGTCGTGGTCCCCAGCTGCCTCCGCGGTCACACCCACTGCGGGCGTGAATCTCAGAATCTACAACTGGATTCACTTAGCTTGAAACACGCAAACGCTCCCGACACACCCTGCAAAAACTGTTTGGTACCTTACAAGCCTGTCAACCTTCAAAGTTATTGCAAAGAACATGAATGCTGGGATATGCTGGGCTGACAACAACTATGAAGCCGGTGGGGCAGTGGTAAGAAAGTGGTGACTGCTGTAGTGAAACAGTGAAGCACGTGAGTTTTTTTTGTGAAGTCAAGGTTGGGATTTGAGAGCCTGAGTTCTCTGACCACTGCTGTCTGGACTGAAAAGGAGATGAGTAACCAAAGAGCTGAAAATCATCTGGATTTCCCAGGCGATCCACAGCGTCTAGTCATCTGTCAAGCTTGTGCTTTACAACTACAACGGAGGCAGGAACGACAAAGTCAAGCATCCTCTCGAAGTCCATACCAGAAGATCAAGGATCCACCCCAGCCCCACAGCCTGCAGCTGCACAAACTCCCTTTCAGCTTCGATGAAAGGGCGGAGCCTGGGACACACGGAGGCCCTTGCGCCCTCGCTTCAAATCAACTCGCATCTGCTTGGATGCTCACGCTTCCTGCGAGTCAGCTTCCATACCTTCAATGGGAAGGAATGGGAAGCAGTACAGAAGGGGTGCCTGAAACACAGATACCGATACCCAGCCTGTCGGACAGCTTACTGTCCGCTTTTGCCCTCACCTACACCACCCTTGACACCACGGGTGCGACAGTTGAACAATTCAGATGAAACATGCTAGATCTGCTGGCTGAGTCATGCGAAACACACAAGCATCCCATACTCCAAAACCATTTTACCTCATGTTACCATTTTCGCTGCGCGTGTACAATCCAAGTGTGCGACGGCCGCATCACTCCAAAATTCAGGAGTGAGAGGGTTCATTATCGAATAAGCTGCAAGGCATTTGCAGAATACAACGCTTTGCACGCAACAAAGGTCAATGTGTAAGCTGCGCAACATCAGTATGCAGCAAGCCTTGTGAGCTCTACAGCACCACTGTCATCTTTGGCTTGGTGCTGGGACCCAAGGAAGGTGCTGCGCAAACTCAAAGGAAGTACGGGACAAGCTGCCGAGGGGGCACCTCCCAGTCGCATGTGAAATCGCGCAAAAGCGCTACTGAGCAACCACTGAGGCGTCGGCAGCTGAAGCAGAAGCTGGAACTTCTTGAAATATTCGGAACCTGCAGTCTTTTCAACATTGCGTTGTTGCTGGGGTACCTTTGTTCCAGAATTTGGACACCAAGAATGCCAGGCAGACTCACGCTGGTTCCGCTCATCAATATCAAGGATAGATGCCACCTCGCTCACTTGCGTGATTTGCTTTAGTGTTCCCCACAAACAAGGCTTTGGGATCTCGAGATGCCTCTGGCAGCCAAGGCCTAGGCATTTCCACATCGATAGCAATAATTTGGAGCTGACCTTATCTCTGCCGCAGATTGCAGTGTTCAGAATGCTCCGCTTCCTGCAATTCATTCTTGGCCAGGTCGAACACCACACTGTCACCAGCAGTCCAGTCTTGCTCTCCTGCGAGTCGCTAAACATGTACCTGCCAGACCAAGACGTGAAGCGGTGTGGCTCTGAAGCAAAGCTCTGCCAGGGTACTTGTAACCTTCCTGCACGAGCTGATGTGCTCTTGCAATGAGATCCAAGCCGTTGAGGCCTGCTGCGCATTGGGCATCACACGTGGACCAGAAAATCTCTGAAAATGAAATGGGTCAAGGAGCGATTGAAGTGCTGCGTAGGTCGCTCTCCAAATAGCCAGCCTGCACCCCTTGGGCTCACCTCAGGAGCCAGAACTGCCAGAACTGTCAGAACTGCCAAACTGGCAACGACGGCAGGCATGGCGGGCAGTAGATGACTCTCAGCTGCTGGCAGCCCATGCCTCTATGTCTTCGGGATCGGACCACACGAGGTCCCCAAACGCACCCTCGTGGGGAATCTCCTTCCCAGGATTAGAAGTCTCTTGCAATTTGTTCTTCCTAAGCTGACAGCGAATCTATTTGTCAAATCATCCATACCTCACAAAATCACGATGACCGTCATGACCCGTGGGCTCCTTCCTAAATCCCCAAGTTGCTGTGACTTGAGCAGGTGTTGATGCCCAACTGACCATATAAAGCTGCTGAAATCGTATGCCCCCCTGTCTTAGATTCGTCCAGCACTGCCTACAACACTTCAATCTCCCTACCTGTGAATTTTTGAAGTCAGGCGCCTGCACACGATTGATTGTGCGGATCTGATCGAGGATCTTAACCTTTCCAAACACTCCGATGTACCAGGGGCCCTCCATAAATAGATCTGCGTCAAAGACTCTGTTCTGAGCTTAGCACGTCTGGCGATAGCCCCCCGTGCACACAAAAAATCGAGTTCTCAACCTTGAAGCAGGGGTTGCCATCAAGCAGGGCATGAATGCGTGCAGCTAGCCTAGAGCCTTGCAATAGCAGACAAGGTCAAGTAGTCGAACACTTCTGTGCAATACCTGAAACACGGGAAAAAGGCGCCCCTGGGGCCTTCCAAGTCAGCATGGCAATGAGTGCTAGTAAGGGCAAGGCTTCCATGGATTTGCATTGCCGTACTTGCGCAAGCACTCATCATAAAATCCATAGACCTTCGGGTTTGTGAACTCAACGCCGATGCGGTGCCGTAATTCAACCCCGGCAGGCCAAACGCCTGCGTGATCTGACGGGACTCGTGGTTGCCACGAAGCAATGTAATGCTTGCCTGGCAGCTTCCCCTCATACCCTTCACCTGTTGAATTCCAGCATATCACGTGCAGGGCTCGAGCGGGATACCGGAGCTTGAGCAGCATGAGGAGCTCAAACGTCTCTACGCTGTTGTAGCCTGATTTCAATGCTGTACCCATCCAGATGGCCCCACATGTTGAATGCCCCCCAACCTCGATCGACAAAATCACCCATGAAGATGTAGTTCTTCTCCTCAGAAGTGCGAAGAACCCGCACTAAAGCGCGGAGCACACAAAACAGAAGGCACGACAATGTGCATTACATCTTGACCAGTGCAGACACAGCACTGGAATGTGTCCGCCTATGTTGAACAACTCCAGCATGTCAAAATATTGACCTGGCCCAGGATTCTGGAAAAATCAGGCACAGGCAGGTTCCCTTCACCACAGCAAGCTCGGATTCTGACCATGTATGTCACCACATATCCTTTCAGGCAACACAACTGCACTTGCTAAATGCAAATCACGAAAACCATTGCATTCACATCTATTAGACATATTCTTACCTGTCTTGTTTGCCTGCTCCAACAACCTAATCAACTAAAAAGACACGGGTTTTTTCCTATCGACATTGCACCTGTGCAGATGGTGATGCGAGCATGCAGGCAAGCCACACCACGGGCAACTGCACCGGTTGCACATTGCTCTCCTGCAGGACAGGTTTCTCGCACTTCGATCAACACAGAGCCCAACGTACATCACGGATGAAAGGTGCAGAGAATCCTCGATCAAAATATTTTTCAACTGCTGACCTGGCTGGTAACGCAAACATGGCCATCAACATGTGAGCTCCAGAAAGCAATAGGCCAGGCAAACAAGCCAGTTTCAGCACCCTTTCCGGCAGGATTTCGGGGACAATGTCACCAGCACGCTTCAGCCTAGGATGTTATCTCTCCGTATCAGTCCTGTACGGACAGTGCCGTGTGTCAGCTGGATCATCCCATCGACACAGCCAAGTCCCACACTTGTGGATCAAATTGTCCAAATCAAACTCATTGCCATCCATGGGCAAAGCGCTTCCAACTACGGCCATTTACTTAGGTTCTGCGCTTGAAACTAGTCAAGGTTCAGCTGTTGCGAATACGAGGGAGCTTTCTGCCATGTCGTATGACGTCACGTCCTAGTCAGGGCTACTCATCACTGTGCATGAAATGCTCTGACATATTGGAATGAAAGCAAGGCATAGCAAGGATGCAGTGGCCCGGAAAATGACAAGCATGCACTGAAAACACAGAAAATGCTGTGTTGCTACACGTAAGCACGAATCACGTAGTAACACTGCAGCAACTTGCGTCATCAAGGTCACTGTTACAGGCACTGATCCTGTTGCCTGGTTAGTAGCTAGCAGCCAGCTTCCAGCATGTTTTGCCGCGCATGTTTCAAGGCATGGGAAGTATCTTGCACTAGGTTTGGCACAACGGTAGGCGTTGAATTGCGATTCAGGCTTCCACTGGCTGAAGGCATTCATTTGTATTAACTAGCAGAGATGTACCTTCTTCTAGAGGCAATAGGAAAACGTGTGTGGACAATTTCCTCAATTCGTCCATCGTCATCCGAAAAGAGCCACTGCTGTTCAGGCCCGCCTGGAAACACTGTCGGGCCCAAAAATCTGTGTTCCAAAAAAAATCTACCCAGCACACGAAGGCTCCAGGGCAATTTCCCTTGGTGGCTCATCGGCAGGTTCATCACCAGCATAAGACGACACCTCATGCTCGCTTTCCGTTGGGTCACCATGACCGCATCCCAAAGTAACACTGGAGGCTCCGGCCGAACCCTTACGGGTCTTGGTTTTGACAACGTTCTCATATAGCTTTAGGCGCATCTGGCTCCTGAACTGCCAACCATGTAAGAACCTCGGTCTCGCGCAGAACTCTTTATTCCATACACTGCTGGAAGCACAAACCAACAACCGACATGGCAGCAAGGTCAAAGGGCAGGAGAGGAAAATTGAAGGAGATTCGTAATCGGCGCTAATGAGTCGACTAGGGCTCTCCAGGGCCCACGAATCAAAGGTCCTCACTTCTACGCGGGCCTGAACAGCTCCGCTATGAGTATGAAACGTTTTCGAGTCCCCTTTGCAAACTGTGTAACTCGGTATGACTCAAGGGGAATCGAACGGCGTCAAGAAAAACACAAAAAAAGTTGCGACGAAATGAGGCAACCTGGTTCCTATACATGGCTGCCAATCACACAGGATTTCACATCTAACCAAAACCATGTTCATAGGTGACAAGTGCACGCCAAAAAGCCACAACTCGCCCACGAATTTCCATGCAATCTCGTATAGCTATGGTCAGTTCTTAGAAGGACAGCAATACTCATACATGGGCGGAAACTTTGCGGATATTGTAGAAATGGAGTACAAGCAAACAACAGCAAGAGAGTACAAGAAAACAAAAGCCCGCAAACCGCAGACACAAGACCAGACAGCACAGCAAAAGAAGAAAGCGAGAAACAAAAAACAGAAAGCACGCAACAATCAAGCAGAAAGCAAGAAAACAAAAGCAAAAGAAAGAAAGCCCAAGGCGAAGCGCCAAAAGGCAAACGCTTGGAGAAAAAAAAAAAGAAACAAACGGGGAAGAGCAGAAAGCCATAAGCAAAAAAGCAGCCGTGCAAACGGCAGACAATAAAAAGCAGCGAAAGCGCAAAGCAGAATGAAGAAAGCAAAGAAACACACTATGTCCAAAAAACAACATAGGGGTTTCCCCGAATAGCAGGGATTCCTCTCCTAATCCATATTTGTTTGGACTAAAGCACAAGCCTAGATGCCGGCAATTTCATTCTGACAAACTCAATTTACCTACAACCGCTGCAGGGCTCAGAAAGCACGACTTCAAGCTGGAGTTGGAATTTCTATGGCACGCGCAGAAATTTCTACTGAATCAGTTTGTGCAGCAGTGGTGGATGGGATCATGTGTCCTTCTCTTCGCCCCAGATATCCAGGTGTAGACTACAGGTAGGAAGAGGTACGATTCAACCACCCAGCATGATGTTACCTGTACCCCATGACGAATATGACCGCGAAAGGGTACTGGGAAGAAAGGGGGGTAGAGAGGCTTGATACAACTGCCAGCAAGACGTCGTGTGCGTCATAAACTTGCAAGCACAGCTAAGACAACAGTAGGGGGGTGTGAGCCACCACGAGGCAGCATTTCATTTGTTTCATGACCTTGCAAGTAGTCTAGTCCAGTACAACAGAAGTAGGCAGGTTTGACGAAACACCAGCATGACGTTACTCGTACGATGACCATGCAAGGGTAGCGATCACTACAGAGGCAATAGGGACGTTTCATGCAACAACCAAGCAAAATGATCTCGTGCCGTTACCATGCAAGGGTACGACACGCTACAGAGGGACTCGGGAGGATGTATGGAATCATGAAACATGAAAACTTTCAGAACATGACCATGCAACGGTGCTAAAGGCTACAGAAGGAGCAGGGAGATTCAAAAAAGACATGAAGTATGATATGACGCGAACCACGGCCGAGCACGCGTAAGGGAGCGCCATCAAGTCAATTTGTCAATGAGGAAACATAAGGTTGATGAGTGGATCCCCTCCCAGAGCATTGACAGAATCAACTCTGACCAGCCCATCTCTGAAGGTCAGACTCCTGAAAAAGAATAAACTTGACCCCAACCCCTTCAAAATCTTTAGATTCGTATGGAAGAATCTAGGGTCACCCGCCGCCCATCCTGCGATACAATCAATAGCTGGCAGCTTTCCAAACTGTGTGTGACGACGCCACATACTCAAGCCTGGCTACACTCGCTTTCATGATTTCAGTACTTCATGGATCAAACTTTGCAGATCCTAAACCTAAACAATGTCCCCAAGAAGCGCCTTGCAGCTTGCATGCGAGCATTTGTGTTAGGCTTGATCCTGCCACTGGCAGTAGCATACGCACCCCATGTGTTCATGTGTCCTACAAGTACAGGATTCACAAGGCCTGTCCGAAAAGTGGTAGGATCATTTTCTGCTGGACTGCGCCGAGTCTAGCAAACGCAAATGTATCTCGGACATTCTCAGCCAGTCTGCAACCTGAGCCAAGGCAATTAACCTTCACAGAAACTTCTTTGCTTTTACAACTGGGGCGGCCGGCATCCTTCTCTCCTTGCGCCACGCGCTCAAGCTGTCACATGCTGTCACGAGCTAACAGCGCGTCCTTGATGCGACCGAAGAATCCGAACCTGAGTCAAGTGTGAGGTCAAATGACTCAACACACGGGAAAGGCTGAAATTGCCTTGCAGCTGAGTTGCTGCTGACTTGGCCAGCCTCCGCGCTCTCCTTCAGCAAATATCTGCGAGTGACTGAACGTGGACAAGTTGACATCGGTGCTGCTAGGTCTTGCTTCAAGCTCCTCAATGCATTTGGATCTCGATGCCCCTCATGGAGGTAGAGCCTTCAGCGCCGCTATAGTCAAACAAGTCGAATGCTTTCGAACCGCCACGTTTCCGACAACACAGCATACTTTCACAAGTTGAAGACCTCACAGTCTCTGCTACCGAGACAAGCTTGACAGGCAGCAGAAATGCCTAGTAAGGCATGCAAAGAAGACGTGTGAATGGCACCCCATTATCCAATTTTCATTTACCCGCACCCTCAGACCAGGCCCCTCACAAAGACATCTTGTGGCAAAGCACGGCGAACTCCTTGGAGCCATCGAGCGCACGAGCCTTCATGTTCTGCCTCGCAGCACTTTCCTTGACTTGAAGCAATCATCCCTGCGTGCGCAACAAGACTTGAAACTTGACTAGCCAGAGCCACTGCAAGCGTCTCATGGCGAAGTGGTTCGAGGGCAAGCTGGCGACGGTATCTGACGATGATTGCCTCCACCAGTGCTCGTGTCAGCGATAACAGTGGTTTGGCTCCTCATCTTGGGCAAAGCGGAGAGGCGTCTGAGGCCAATGCTGCTGGGCGTTCACGATGACATCTACCTGTCACTGCCAGCATGACCAGACTCACAAGAGGAGGCCTCCCGTCTGGACTGGTCACAAACACTGCTCAGGACGACTCCAATTCCAGCAGTTCAGAGACGTTCACGGCATCCTGAGCAACCAGAGATGAGAAAAGCTGGCAAGTCTGAAGACCGGAAACGGGCGCGCAAAAACAGAACGTCCTTCCCAAACACCACAAGCTTAGAAACTGAGATGAGATGAGACACCTTCCAGCACAAAGGAACCAGCCGCCCGTTCTGGCTTTGTACCGACCGGTCGATGCGCCTTGCCTCCCCCGTGATCTCAGTGCTGATGGGTGGATGTGCCCATGCAATCGTGCGTAACCTTCTTACCTTACCCTCGCTACCACCCCCCACACAGACCCCCCACCAGCTATAGTTGTGTCTGGCATCGTTCTCTTGCAGGGATGGCATGCGGCGTAGTCTGCAATCTACGGACCCGAAGCATCATCAATGTGCCATGTTGCCAGCGACAGGCGACCGAAAAAAGGGCATCGCGTTCTGATCCCGGGCTTTGACCCAGGGCTTCCATGGAGTCTATCTGCTATACACATTCGCTCCATGGCCACTCATCTGAACGCAGCCGTCCCCGGGTTCCATAGGCCTCAACTACAATCAGTGCAGCAGCTGTTACTGTTGCTGTCACAGCTACTTTTCTGACTGGACAGCGTGCTGTCTGGCATTGCTGCATTGCTTTCTGTCTCTCGACCGCCTGATTGAACGGTACCAGAGCTTACACGAATGAGTCACTCGCACACGAATGCTCATAGTATCTTCACTTTCATTGCGGTGGCTTCATCACGTTTGCTTTTCACTTATTTCTCTCACACATGAGCAACTATTCGGCTGCATGAACAGAGCTTGGCGACCGTATGAATGAAGCTCACACGTAGCTCCTGACTAGATATGTCTGTTGGCTGCTGCAATTTACAGTCCAGCCCGACATCAATGCATGACATTTTGCCTGCGCCTCTGACAGACTTGCCTAAGAGGCAACAGAAACTTCTGCAACCTTCCACTGAACTTCTTCCTTCTTTCAAACTTAAGATCTTTTTCACCTTGATGACTTTTTGATTTCATTCTCCACAACCGAGCCATGCAACAACTCGCCCAACCTGAGAACTCAAGCGCTGCGTGTCCTTTCAAAGCGTTATGCAAGCATCAGCGGGCAATGAACCACAGGTCACAGTGGGCGATCTGATCGACATCTTGCGTGTGCCTCTGCCCACGCAATCTCTCGTCAAGATTTGCATGCGGCCTACTACCTCTCGTGGTGATGACAGTTTTTTTGGTAATGGCATGACTTGCCTGGGTACCTGGTTGCCGATTGGAACTTCTTGCTCATCATATTGCTGAAAAGAAAATCTTGTGGAGCCTAAACCAATTTTAAAAAAGTCCTCGGTCTTGAATATAAATGCGTGTGGAAGCCCAACAGCACATATGCCCATAACGCAGCGCCACCGGTAAACCTTACTAGGCGATCACCTGTTCACGCGCGTTAGTTCCGCTGACTTGCAAGTGAACCGAAAACATCACGGAAGGCGGCTTGAGGTCGGGCTTGCGACTCAGAAATAGACGCCCTTTAGCTAATCCACACACGAAGACTTAAAACCAGCGCCTCAAGAGCTCAGGATTTTCCGGTTGCTTAAGGTGCTCATGGTGCTCGAAGCAGTCTGAGTAAGGCCGAGGCCTTGCTGCACTCCACTTGAAAAGCTTCGCTGAGGTATGGCAGGGCCTGTGCAGCAATGTGGCCTGGTCCATGGGACATGTTAGAAGTACTCCAGCAAATTCTGCTTGCCTCCGCATACTGTCCCTGTGCGATTCGCAGGTTGGCCTGATACAGCACACATGGGCAAAACACTGCGTGCGAATCCCAAGGAATCTCACAGGCTGCAACCATATGCCGAGCTTGCTTGCCATGAAGCGGTGATTGGCTACCTCGATCGAGCTCAACACCAAGCAGCCAATGCTGGTATCACAGCATGGCGCCTACAGTCTGCAGCAGCAAATTGTAGGCAGCGGAATAATGTTCATCGGCTTTGGCATACTCCTGCGCGCTGAGAGAAACACTGCTAATTACAGTTCAACCCAGAAGCAAACACTCTGCATGTCGTCTCATCCTTCACAATAAGGAAGCATTCCGCCAAAGAATCATGCACCTCATGGGGCAGTTCGACAATGGGGACTTGAGGGGCAGGACCAGGCCAAGCAGCTAGACAAATCTTCAGCACTCCATTACAACAAGAGGAGGGAAGATCCGCTGACCCCAGCTGTGGACCCAGGAGCACACGACAACCTGAAAATGAAAATTGGGCCCGTAGCGATACTGATGATTGGTCGTTGAGGGTGCGTTTCGCCTTCTACTGGCTTCTCGCCACGACTTTTATTACTACTGTCACCCCTACTACCCCACCCGCCACTGTAGAGCGAAAGCTCTGGACACGGCTTCGCCCTGCACCACAGCTGCAGGGCCAGATTGGGGTGGCGACCCCCCCGCCGCAGCATGATCGGGCCTCCATTTCTTCTCCAACCAACCCTCGCAGACCCCCACCCGGAAAACAATTCCAGATTCACAAATTTGGGGTCCCTCAGGACCCCGGAAAAGATCATGAACACGGGCTGCTCTGAAAATTCAATGCAAACTAGCCTCAAGGCCACTTCTTGGACCCGAGTTGAAAAATGTTTAGATTCAAAGCAAGGCCAGCGTATTGCGGGGCTGAGTAATGAGCGTCATTGGTGCGTTTCTTCTGGGCCTAGATTCTATAGGCTGCCCGTACAAGCGTAGTCAAGCCTTATCGGGTTGATGAGGAATGGATGCTGGCCAATTTGCCAGTTGTTGCGTATGACTCGTTTACATGGCTTTTCATGGCAGTTTTCAAGACTGTCGATAGACGTGTTGATTGGTTTATGCACATCTCCAAGTGCCACCACTGCAGCAGCAGGAATAAGGTATGATGCAACAACCAAGCATGATACTATTCGTAGCATGACGTTGAGAGGGTGGTGAACGATACATGAGGAGCATGGAGAAGTGATAAAACACCAGGCGCGACGATTGATGTATCATGCTCGTGCAAGAGTGGTGAACACTACCCGAAGGGTAGTCTCAACAAGCCCAAAGCACAAGGACTGATAGGTGCACAGCGTGTTTTCCATGCAGGAAAGGCAACAGCTCAAAGGATCCCACGAGTCCCGTGGCGGCGGTCACCCACCTGAATGTGCAATAGCCAAGGAACTGCAGCCTAAGGCGAGCACAAAAATGACACGGGTATAATTTTTTGTTGGCTTATGCGTCACCCGGATGATAACCACAGGGGACGGCAACCAAAGTTGAATCTTAGCTTGGAGCTCATCACAAGCCTTGGTTAGGCCCTCACTGGACTCCCCGTAGGGAATCATCGGATCCTCTCACCATCCACAACTACAACCTCTTGGATTGCCCGAATATTTACAAGTGACCGTTTGTCAACCAAATGGGGAATGTCACTTACTACAACGTCGCACAAGGACTTAGTAATGATTACGTGAAGATGAAGAAGTCGTGCTTGGCATCGATCTGATGGAACGTTGTATAGAAGCTCAGACACGTAGAGGTTGATGTAGCAGGCTCTGTCACAGAACGACACACCCTTGTCGACCTCCCTGAGCGCCAGTCAGTGTCGTCTTCTGCAGCACGTTGGGGGAAGTGATCGTCACGAAAACTCCCAGCTGACTGCTCAGCGTTGGCCCAGGAAGCGTCGCAGTAGGAGACGATGACGCTGCCCTTGTTCAAAAGTCCTCGATGACGATGCCGGCATTCTTGGTCTCCCGCCTGAACTCCAGCGCCTGGTAGAGGGCCTTGAGGTCACCGACTGTAGTCTTGTCGCCCTTGTTGGCCAGACTATTTGTCGCTAATAGCTCTGGCCGAGTTTGTGTTGCCAGCACCCTGAGACGCTGCGGAACTCGGCGCACTTTTCGAAAGTGAGGAGCGCACAGAGGTCAGATCTTCTAGGGATTCTTGCTGTCGAGAACCCCTTGATGAACTCAGCCTGGCAGAGGCGCAGGAAGTAGCGACCACTAGGACGTTGGCTCAGAGTGATCTGCTTCCCTTTGAAGGTGAACTCCTTGTCAGGCTCGACTTTGCTCAGCGACCCCCACTTGAAGGCTTGCCACACAGGTTCAATATCGCAATCTTCCCGGACAACTCCAAGGAAATCGAGCAACTACACTAATATGACCGAGATCCGCTCGTTGCGGTCATTAAAGAGGACGAAGACCATGCGATCAAAACTACGTTGACGATATCCAAGATTGCGAAGTCGACGAATGACTGTTATGGCCCAAAGCCTCGGTGCATTTGCTAATCCAGAGATGTTCGCCTGCACGAGGCAGAGTGGTGCCTTCCAGCAACCGGTCCGGCGAGTCAAGCCATCATCTGGTGGACGAAGATACAGAGGAAGGACCCGCTCGTCGCTCGTCTGAAGGCTGTTTGCCCTGCAGGAAATCGATGGCAGCATCCCCTGTCCACCATCCGTACCACTCCTTTCCAGAGTTGTCGAACCCTCGTTTGCTGCCTGAGGTGAGGATCAGGAAGAGGCCGCGCTCGCTGACCCGGCTCGGGGTAGGGAATTCCCGATTCAGCAGCCTGATGTCAGGATCACAGGGCCCAAGCGCGACAACTCGACACTTGGCCCGCAGGGGTCCAATCCCCTTTGCCTTGTCTCGAAAACGCAAGCACACGCTTGCCAGGATCTTGTCCTTGAGAACTGAGCTGCGTGAGGAGCTTCACTGCTTGCCACTACATCCACTGTCTGTTGTGCTTCGGCATCTTGCTGCGGACCATCCGGTGGCTTAAGTGGTGGAACAGGAGATTGAAGCTGTTGAGGTTCTGGTTGTTCAGGCTAGGCCAGGAGGATGTCCTTCATGATCTGAAAGCAAACCTTTGCCGTCAGGAAGCCGAGGAGGTTCTGGTAATCCAGGTTTTGAGGAAGCGAAGGTAACACTACTGTCCTTGACACTAGAGGCGCAGGGGACCTGCTTCTTCTCGGCGTCCAAGGAATCGAATGTAGACGTACGTGTTGTTGACGATGCCTGGTAGTAGAGGAGGTGCTTGCTGTGATTCTGGCATCGGTGCGCCGGGCGCCCATTAAGAAGCAGCCACGATCACGTCCTGGCCTCGATTGCGAGGAGGCTGCTGCAAGAAGTTCTGCGTTGGACTGAACGCCCATGAGAAAATCATCGTCGTCAAGTACTCGATGAAGTGGTTGAGCTTTGAGCGCCTCTTCTTCTGGAGCGGCAGGACCTGACTCGTCGGACCAAAGGCTCCCTGTAAAAAAAAAAAAAAAACTTGCTTGCGTCCGTGAGGGCGGCCACGTCGCTCTCAGTAGGAACCCACTTCTCGAAGGCAACTGCCGCGCGAAGTTGTCCCACAGCGACCAACCGGTAGTGCCCGAGCGAACCCAAGCCAACTTGCCTGGAGAGGTAGGGCCCCAAGTCAGGAGCTTTGCTGAGCAAACTTTGCTGTAATCCAGCCGCGGTTCTTCAGACCTCGTTTCCGCCATCGCCAAAACGCGCAAGGTTGTCCTGGTTCAAGTTGAGGAGCCTGGACGTTTCTTATCTTGCGAAGTATGGTACGCCAAATGGACGGCTGCTGGATGTTGAAGTCGGCGATGGTCTTGATAACGGCTTCAGAACGAACTCTCTCAGCCGCGGCGGCGATGTCCGTAGTAGGGGACACTGCCAACGCTTGGTTGTCCGTGAAGAGGCCGCCAGGTATAGTCGAGGCACGTCGCCAAACATGGCTTGAAACGCTGACCGTCCACGGCTAAGCACCGTGCTTTTCGCAGCGTGCAACGCGGGCGCTAACAGAAGATCCATTTCTGCAATGGTTGTGGCCGAGAAGGTGTCAACCAACTTCTCGATGATAATCCGGAGGAAGGCGTTCTGGCGCTCCACATGGGTGATTTTCCACCCGGAGGGCAGTGTTTGAGAAGAGCGCCGTGCGCCTCGAGGGCGGGCTTGGAAGTCGCCCTGGAAACATCCATCCAGGTCAGCAGCAACGAGGATTGGCAGCCCGTATAAGCCTAAGCAAGACCTTCTCGAAAGCCTCGTAAGTCTCCAGCGCGCGTCCTTGTAGCACTGCAGCTTGCTGGAACCTGGTCGCCACATCGACCATTCCCAGCACCACGACGTTCTCCCCGCCCAGCTTCCGGACATAGAATATGTCGAGCTCCACTCTGTCCCCGAACTGCGTAACCGAGGTTGATGTGGCAGCCGAAGGCGGCGCCTGAGATGATTTCAGACGATCGCAGGTCGCGCACGCACTTAAGCTTGCGGACGGCGGAGATGAACTGAGTAGATGGATTTCCTTGATGGCACGCAAGCCTCACAAGCTCTTCTGAGGTCAGGCGCCCCAGGCCCCAGATTTATATGCACTCGTGCGATGGTTCGCCGAACCTCTGCTGGAACATCTGCGGAAAGGTCAGGGAACGTCACGTCGGTGGGGAGGTCTGGAATCGGAGAATGCGGCCTGACATCTGCTGGCCGTGCCTCTGCACGTCCTTCTCCATAGGCGAACACTGCATAACGAACAGCTTTTCGGTCGTCTCGACGCTTCGGGAGCCATGCGTGTAAAGGAGGAACGCGGCGCTCCTGACCGTGAATGGGTAGTCCAGCGACAGGCGTCGTTGTGTTGGTGACTGCTGGCGATTGCACGCGTTGGACGCGTACCAAGTTCATCCGAAGGAGGTTCGCGATGTTCTTGCCAACGTCACTGTCCACGTCGATGTAGAAAGGTCGCGTCGAGCTGCGGCGCCAAAGGAGCGTTCGAGCATCGTCGCGATCGAGTGATCGAGCCCCACGTGGCCAAGTTGGATATCGGATTCTGTTACGTCACGAAGGCCTCGTAGATGAGGAAGCGATTGGTGTCGTGGCAGCGGACGTAGTCACGGTAGAGCTCGAGGAGGGCCGCAACAAACTTTTGAGGATAAAGCTGCGAAGGCGTATGTTTTTGCCCTCGACAGGGACCGTGTACATCCGCTCTGTCTTGGTCAGACGCTTGTCGAGCACCGTGGCTGCGCCTGGGATGTTTGTCCAGAACTTATAAAGCGCTTGACGACGGGCTCGCCGTCGACCGTGGCGCCGCCGTAGGCGCCTGAGTCAACGATGCATTCCGCTACGCCGGGGAAGTCGCCGAGGTCCTTGAACTCGTCCATGTCCCAGAGTCTCGAGCGCTGAGGGGACAAAGGCGCGCCTGCCATTGAGCTGGAGGTCGACAAGCTTCCGGATCAATCGTCGCATCTCGATGTCGTCGTTCCGCATCTTCTCGAGGACGTGCTTGCGAGCGCTGTAGTTCAGAAGATTGAGTACAGTGCGCACGGGTAGGCCACATGGAGGACATGAGGTCGCAGACGCTTGACCATGCCAACGACGTAGTCCTGGGCGCCTGACTCCTCGATGGGCTCAGACCCGGTCACGCCGTCTTGTGTGACGCCTTTGCGGTAACGCCGGCCTCGCCCGCAAAGAGCTCAACAACGATATCGATGCACGGAGGTGGCCTGTTGGAGGTCGTCGGCTAAGCATCATAGATGGTGCGTTCCCGTCCCAGGCTCAATCTTCTTCGTCGCCCCAGTCATAGTCCGTCTCTGCAGGCAACGCATGAGGTCCGCGAAGGAGGCTCCATGTGTCCGACATCGCTGATCCACTGGGCGCTGCGTGTGTTGAGCGTCGCCTGCGCGCCGGAGTGCTCCTCGAGGTTGTTGCCGCCGCCCTGGGTTTCGAGCCCGGTGGTTTGGAAGCTTGCTGGGTCAATGGTTCCGCCTCCTGAGCTGGTATATTGGGTGAGGATGGCAAGGGCGGTGTCGAGTTGAGCAACGATGCCCCGAATTTGTTGTCCGGCTCCTCGACCCACACGCCCTGGGCGTTCCACTTCTACCTCTTCAAGCACTGCTTGCAGCGAGCGAACTTGCCGTACGCGTTGCCGTACCAGACATACTCCGGATGCTTGCATGTAGCCGGAGGAGCAACGAGGCCCCGAATTTGTTGTCCAGCTCCTCGACCCACACGCCCTGGGCGTTCCACTTCTACCTCTTCGGGCAGCGCTTGCAGCGAGCGAACTTGCCGTACGCGTTGCCGTACCAGACATACTCCGGACGTTTGCATGTAGCCAGAGGATTGGCGAAGTTCTTGGACAGCTTCGGACGTCGAGGTACGAGGTTCACCGCGCGGGCCCTGTGGGCCATCTGAATGAACACTGAGCGCTTGAAGAGTCGAAGGGCTCTCACCATGCGGCGCCAGTTGCGAAGCCATACTGGAGCTGCATGAGGCACAGCAGGGTCTCGAGGTGTTGCTATGAATACGGCTTGGGCCATAAACACAAGCAGGGGAGGAGGATCACTCCAGTCAACAGAGTCCTGCAACTGCTTCCACCTACTGCTGTGGGTTGCCACACGCTTGCAAAAGTCGAGCACTGAGATAGTCAGACGCCCATTCACACCACACACAGGCACGGTCGCTCCTAACTTCGCAAAGGTGGCAGTGGACTGGGGCATGTCTAGAATCACGCCAAGGTCATCAAGAAGCTGATTTGATGCGAGCAGTGGAATGTTTGCCTCCAGCACACCTGCTCCTGCTCCGATCACTAAGTCGGCTCCGCCCACGCCAGCTGGCATGTACACGCGGCGAGCGTCTGCGCAAGTATCTCTGTACACAAGCAGGTCTCGGCTACGCGGCAAGGCTGTTTGTGAGGAGTGAGGAGGCCCATGTGGCACCACAGCGGTGCGTTGACAGGCCGTGCCCAGAACCATCAAGCCAGGAAAGTCAAGGTCTCCGCCAGGAGCGCGCCGCGCATCGAAGACAACGTTGAGGGAGAACATGGCGCTGAAGTTCTGGTTGTCCTGGGTTTCCAGCGCCCCGTGCTCAGAATGACGAAGCACGCAGGTCTGGCGGGGCGTCTTCTTCCCGGACCCTTTCCGGCATGCTCCGTGGACTTGGCTCCGGCTGTCGCAGTGCTTCAGTAGAAGAGGAACCTTTGCTTGAGACACGGCCTTCGGGATCACCTTTCCAATGGCCTTGCTCGCCACAAGCAACACAATTGGTCTCTCGCTTCAGCGCAGCGGGGTCCTTCTTGGCTGCACCACTGTGTTTTCTGCCCATCTTCAAGGTTGCAGCTTCTTCGCAGTAACTGTCAAGACCTCAGCCAGGTCGCCGACGTCGTCCGCGACGTCTCCGGATCTTCCTCGGCGTCGGGGATGGCAGCGTCACGTAGACCTTCTTGACAAAGCCGCCGTGCTTGACCAGATTTGCCGCCTTTGCCTGCGAGAGCTGGGACTGCTTGCCTGCGCCCTTGATCCGGTTGACGGGTTGCCCATCGCGGCCGCGGCCGATCACGGGAGGCGCGCCCTTCAAGTCGGGGAAACGCAGGGACATGCTCTCGGCCACGCTGTCGAAGGCCAAGGATTCACGGCGTCCAACATGTGTCAGCCGCTGGTCCTGGGGACTGAGCCGCGCATGCTCGAGGAGTCTATTGCCCCTGGCCTCACCATCACACATGAGGAACACTTTGACCCCACAGCTTTTGGAGTTCCGTTCAATGCGTCTATATCGGTTGCTGAAAGCCGTATCCTCCGCCAGGCTGGCGCTCATTTCCTTTTCTGGAACACTTGTTTTTGTTCCATGGGCTAGCGCAAAGTTTCCAATATCGGCCTTGTTGTTGACGACTTCGGCTACGAGGGAGTAGTCGGTGGAGTTGCAGGGCACGAGCTGGGTCGAGCCGTAAATCTCCATATCGAGCCGCCGCCGCCGCCGAGTTCAGGTCCACCGTCGGGTCGTAGGTCGGGGTCTCAGACTCAGGAAGCTCATAACAATCGGCCATCGCGGGGGTCTTCTGGAGGTCCGGTTCCGCGACGTAGAGCTCTGTTGTGTTGCTGCCTTTGCCGTCGCGAGATGGGTGCTGAAGACTGTCCATTTCCCCTGCCTGCTGGTTGAGAAGGATCGGGTGGATGGGATTGTTGAGGTAGTCCATTAGGAGGCCTCGGGAGAAACATCCATGCCCCTCGCTCTGTCTGTCAGCGAAGGCCTGGTCAGTAGCATGGAAATCGGTGCTGTAGCAAGTCGTGCAGGTCCAGCGGCCTTGGCCGGTCTGCAAAGCGATGCTTGGGTCACAGCGGACGCATCGCCACTCTGGAGTGGTTCCCTGGATCTGATTGCTGGCCGCCTGTCGTTCCAAAGCCTCGAGCCACGGATCTTGGCCATCAAGTTCATCAAGGTGCTCGTCCTCGGTCACAGGATCCTCCTGGGTTTCCGGGATATCGTCTCGCCCATCCAGGCGAAAGATCTCCGGGATCAAGGGCATGATCGTGTAAAGGAGGACGAGGTCGTACAGGCAGGAGACAAAGAACAAGTAGCGACCAGGGCTCACCCAGGCTCCGGTGCCAACTTAACAAGCCCAAAACACAAGGACTGACAGGTGCACAGCGTGTTTTCCATGCCCCAGATAAGTAGACTTTACATCTTCCAGACACATCCCTACCCGGAAGGGTACTTTTGAAAACATGCCTGGGTTTCCACCATAAGGCCCTTGCCGTCCCAAGACACCCTCGGCATCCCTGGAAGGTTCGGGGCATAGAGCTTATTAGAGTTCAGGGTTTAGGGTTTAGGGCTTAGGGTTTGTGACACCATGTGAGTCCTTCATGTCACCGAGGAAGCCCCTTGGAGTTTGAATATGAGCCTCTCGGCCTAACATTTACTTGGTGGATTCCTCTAGCAACCTCTGTGCACCATCCCCGCAAAAGCAAAGGATCCCTCAAGTCCCGTGGCAGCGGTCACCTACCTGAATGTGCATAAGCCAAGGAAAGGCAGCCTACGGCTACAAGAGAGAGACTTGAAGCACCCCACGCGGGCAAAAGGCACCCTACTGCCCTTAGACGCCCCCGCAGGAAAAAGGCACCCCACGTCGGCAGAAGGCACCCCACGGGCTTCAATTCCCCATGTAGAAGCCCTTATCACGTCTTGCGTTGAAACGTTGCCAAAACTAGCAAATTGTGCGCGAGACGCAGGCCGCAGCTCTGAAATCATGTTATGAATACAAATCTGTAGGCCCAAATCTCCATGTAGGCGCCCTTATCACGTCATGCGCTCCAGTGCTGAAAAAAGCTAAGAAGCTGTGCACAAGAGGCAGGCCACAGCTCTCAAATCATTGTACGCATTCAAATCCGCGGCCCAAATCCCAAGTAGCACTGAAAGAAACCAAGCGAAAACACATCTTACTTAGCAAATGAAATGCCGCACATCCTTTATGCTTCATGCCAGCCTGAGAAAATAACAGGAGATTCATGGGTACATGTCCAGCTTCCGACCAAACTAGGCGACCGAGACGGTTTTTGCGTACTTTGCAAGGCACAAGACCTGGATATTTACGACGCTATGGCCGTAGATGAGAATCCGCATGGACACGTGCTTACAAGTTCTAAAACAGTAATGAAGATAATCTCAAAGGCAGGACCACACGTGAGAATTCCCAGGCACATGCACCCGCAGCACGACTTCACACAACACGGCACGACTTGACGCAGTATTACTAGTAAATAGACTGAAAAGATGAAGAAATCTAGGAAATGCGGTATGGGCAGACGCCCTCAAAAGACATGCTGCGCGGCAGGATATGGTGTGTCAAGGATATGGTCATGGTACAATGTGGGAATCCCCAGTGTAACACCCTCGCGAGACGCCTTTCGCCTACCCGAGACGCCTTAAGTCAGCCTCTTGTAGCACAAATTTAACAGGTACGTGTAGGGAGGTTTGACGTAACCGCCGAGCATGATGTTGTTCGTACCATGGCTATGCAAGGCTAGTGCACACTACAGAAGGGCTACTACGAAGCATGGTTTTACTCATACCATGGCCATGCAGATGTGTTGCGCAACCAACCTTCATTTCCAGGAATGCTAGAAGCTAGCTGCCATGACACGGCGTACATCAGCACGAGCCTTGGCTCTCATCACAAGATCGTCTGGCTCTTGCACAGTTTGAAGCTCCAGCGCCTTAGCTTACAGCCAGGGCGTCAACAAGAACTGCACGGCAGCCTGGATGAGGCTTAGGGGCTTCCTCTACCAACGCTCGTCCCCGAAAGAAACCGTTCATATCACCATCTCGCCAAGCTCTCCTGGGGAGCGAAAATGATCAGGAAAAGCTAAGCAAGGACGTGGCCGTTGAGGATGGCATTCAATAAGATCTTTTGAGCTCGTGGCGCTGCAGCTACTTTGCCAAGGTCCCACTTATCAAACCAGTCCAGGTCTCCCTCACGAAGCCAAGAAATTACGACAGTGAAGACAAGGTAAAGACAAGCCTTGGAGCATTTTGAAGCTGATGCCATCCTGCAGTCACAGAGCAGCAGTCTGGAAGCATCCGCCAAGCATCGCTGCCCGCCTTCCAAAATAGATTGCCGCTTCTTCGATCCTGCCCATCGCCTTGAGTGCCCAAGCCTCACAAATTGTCGCAACGTCCAGCGACAAAGCTTTGAAGCTCGCTGGGCGGCTTCCCAACCGGCCTGGTTTCGATACAGGGTCGTGAAAAATTCGGGCGCCTGCCAGAAGGCCAGCTCACTGCAGCAAGGCGAACAAGGTGGGGCCTCATCTGCATTGTAGGGACCTTAATTGGCAGCTATGGCAGGTTGCCCAGAAAGGACCTTTTGCAAACTTAGTGCCCAAGCTGTATAGTTCCAGATCATAGAGCATTTCCTCGGGTGCTCTACTCCGCTCTTGACAAAAATTGACTGGGAAGATGTAGCTAAAGGCAGCTTCGTGACCAAGGCTTCGAGATGTCGGCTCTGCTTCATGCGAACTGTTGATACCTTACGCTGCAAGGCAGCTCATCTCTTCCCCTTCCTGGGAGCACGCTACATGGGCTCAGACATGGCGTGCTTCGCAACTTGGCAAGGAGGAGTGGGGCGGAGCAGCCCTGAGGCCCAGTCGTGATTGAGCCATTTCACCATCCAAACACCCCCACGCTGTGCCACGAATGGGCCACATTTAGCCAACACAGCATCGGCTTTGTCCAGCTTGTAGTTCTTCATGTATGCACCAACCAGGTCCAAGGCATTTCCCAAATTCTGGCCATTGTATAATCCACCACTGAAGTTGCCGAGGTCGGCTGCCATTGCAGCTTCTATCTCCGCAACCTTCTCTTCATTGAGGTGCTCGCCTTCTTGGAACATTTCATCTGTCCAATTTCGCTTGAGAAGCGCCGCCTTATCTCTAAACGCAACTGCCAACTTGTCTCTGACCTCTACCACAGGATGGTCGGATGCATCATCACCGAGAGCCTCAACAACAGACTGCAAAGACTCGAAGAGCTCCACATCCGCATCCGACAGCGCATCCCACTTGATGTCAGTTTGTGCAGGGGAGGAGGCCTGCACAAAAGACTTCTGGCGAAGCTGACCACCGATGGACAAACGTCGGGAGCATCGGGCTGCCACCGGTCGCCAGAAAGCTCGGCCCAGCGCTGAAGCTCGCCATGGCATCATAAGGACTCAGGATGCTGCCACTGCAAGTTATACCCTGTTCTTGACGATTGTGGAATTGCTAGGTAGAGACAAAAGAAGAACATTCACCAGACAGCATTCTGAAGTTAGGTGCGGCTGGCCCAGGTTCTCTAATTACTCACATATGGTTGTATTGCATCTCTTGAGGCCGTAGCACAATTGCACATGCCCGCCTCCCACCGGTCTAGCTGTTCGTCGTGTGGACACGTCCAGACCCATGCTGTCTGTTTCAAGAGGCACCTCTTTCTACTCATCAGCGTCGCCAAAGATGGAAGCAAACAATGATGTGGGTGGGCGTGTGATCTCACCACTGGGAGCAACCTGGGCACAGCAGCTTCCGCATGACGTATCACGACTTCCCTCTGCAGTTCTGTTCCAGGTATTCATGATGCTAGGATCCCAACATCAGCATGTAGGACTGGATCCGCATTCTGTGTGCTCTGTCCACTTCCAGCTGGCAAAGCCTACGCTCAAAGCGGGAACAAGAACATAATCGAACGAGGAAAGAAGGCCAGGGCGGTTGATGTGTTCGCAGGCTTGGCTTTGTCTTTGGCCTTTACCTAACATTTTTGTCGCTATAAGTCAAGAAGAGCATCGACAGTGTCGCCTGGTCGTTGTACTTTCGCTGCTTCTGCTGGGCAGCAGGAGGAGCATGGTCACCTCAAAATGAACTCCGAACTGCCATCAGCAGAAATGGTTTCAAGAGTGTTGCAGCGGTTTGCATCTAAGCCCAAAGCTAAACCCGCTTGGTTTTGGTTCAGGCCTCGATAGCAACGGTTGAAATCAATGACCCTCAAGCGTCGTGCCCATGTACAGGACACTAAGCGTCAAACACGCCCCATCGCCTCACTTTCTCTTAGCAGACTGGACTTTGATACTTCGAGAGCGCCAAGCCTGCATAGCAGCTTGTCTGGGGTCCAGGGTGTCACCGTCCTCAGCTGGAACAATGCAAACGCTTTCGGCTTGACCGCTCAACCCGCCTTTGCAATATTTGAGCCGGCTGAGGGGTAGCCTTGCACAAGTCTAGCTGCCAACGGGCAGAAACATTCTCCTACCAACTGCTCCCTTCTCTCCATCTCTCCAAGTCCTTCTCCTCCAGAGCCTTGACAATGTCTGCCTCTGGATGTTGCTGCCTGACATGGAGACGCTTCCTCAAGGCGCACAAGCTGTGGTATACCCCCTCTCTGGAAAAATGGAGGCGGGGGTGGCGGAAATGAACCCGGTCTATTGCTCCCATACACATATGGTTGGGGGAGAGCATTCACAAGCTCCCGAACACTAGTACATCACCGCTCTCAAAGTTTCGACTACTGGGCCTCTCCTGAAGTATTGACCTCCTGTGTATCTTGCGGAGTCGCGGAGGCCCCTGAAATCCCATTTTCCCTGGCCGTACTACAAGTAGCGGTGTCGCAGCTACCCCGCTTCAAATCCATGCTAGCGTAAAGCTCCGGAGGTGGGGATGAGGGGGCACATTATACAGGACACATGATTCTCCAGCAAACATGTCATTTCAATTCTATCCGTCGCAGAAATAACGCGAACACTAAGACAAAAACAATGCTGGCATACATAATCTGGACACCTGGTGGGGTGACTCGCCTCAATGTATCAACTGGTAGCAAACGCGCACAAATCGGGGTCCCCTCAAGGCACGACAGTTCAGAAGGTCTGCAAATCTGCTTAGAGAGGGTATGAACTGCCAGCACACCCGCGCAATCCAGGGCACTATCCAAACAGAACACGAAGAGGTTTTTGGACTAGTTGCGCATGAACGAGCCAAGCCTGAATGAACGATAGACCCGGCCGAACTCTGCGAGCTCCAAATCACGCTCCACCTTGTCTGAGCACAGCAAGCAAGTGGAGCATGGAAGGCATGCCATTGGAACCTGCGTTGGATGGCCCAAGTCCTTCAGGGCTTCGGAGATTGCAGCCTTGCCTTCCATGGCCCGACAGAACCTGCAAAAAAAGGCTTGTTTGGCAGCCTTGACATGACATTTGCCCTAACAGCTGCATGCAATCTTTTCGCCAGAACCGTGTGTTTACAATTGGCTCTTGTCTGCGGCGTTAATCGACTGGATTGCGGCCTCACCTGCGGCGCTTGCGGCAATCCCACTGCTCTCATGCGGAGCTTCCTCACAATTTCATCACCGTCTCGACGTACGTTGGTGATCTCCGCGGTTGTCGCTTTTGGTGTTGGACCCTTGGCTGCCGGCTCGGCACCTTTGGCCTGACAATTTCGCTCCACACGTCTGAGAGCCGCACGGCCGTCTTGCAAATGTCGACGCTTTGGGAACTTCAAGTGCTATTGAAGTCTTCTGTGGTGCTTTCAGGATCAACCTTCTCTTGTACGCCGGGATCATGTGTGATCCCATGTAGCTATCTTGCATTGAAGCCTGCTCAAACCTGTGAAGCTGGTTGTAATTCTGTTCCGGGGTATACCAACCCTGCACAATGCCGCCATCAAAACCCACAAGCGAAAACACGCAGCTCGTCATACATGCTGCGCCATCGACAACGCCCAGGGCGCTGGCTTCGAATAACGCTGTTGTTTACCTGAATGTTCAGGGACTAACAGCGGTCTGTGCCGAGGAAACTTTGCGTCAAATGGCAGACTGTAACTTCGAACCAGGTGCTCGGATCGTTTTTGAAGGGCTCGTGGCGAGCTGCTGCGCCATCCATGTCCTCGTAAACATGTTCTAAATGTTCTCAGAAGGCATCTTTGAGATAGTATGGAATGCTTGCTTGGGGTCCTGGGTCTGGCCCATCACAAAGTGCCGGCCAAGAGCATTCAACAAGTTTTGCTTGTGTTGGTCAGGAACCTGCCACCTCACACAGTTTGCAGAAAGTACTGTACCAGCACTGTGCCATACTACACAACACAACTCAGATCCGGGCAAGGGCGCAGTAGACCGTTGCACAGAAACCTGCCGGGGAAACAGTTCCTGATGACTGAATCTTCAGCATGTCTATGCGTTTCTGCTCATGAAGCGCTGCAGTGCTTTCAACACCGCAGGGTGATGGATCTTTTTGACTGATTGCATACTGCTCGCCGCTGGCAGCAGACGAAAAAAAAGAGGAAAAACAAAAAGTGAACCGAATGCACGGATGTGAGAGCAAAACCATGGCCAACGAAAGCTCACGAGCTCAAGCCCGCAGGCTTGTCAGACTGAAGCTTGACAAAGCAAACATTTATGGGGAGCAACGGAGGCATGGCTAACGCAAGCACATGAAATCTTTCAAGGGCCAAGCCACAGACCTACAAGTAATGGCTTACAGTTACCTGTCATCGCAGCTACATTGCTACATTACATACATGAGGCGTCCCTCTCATAGCACACAAAATTCCACAGCCGCTAAGGCTTACTCTAATCCATGCATATCAGACAACAAGAAGCCCAAAAAAGGTCAACCTGAAGAAACATCCCTCAAGGGGAGCCCGGGATGTTTCCTACTCCCCTCAGGCCCCGCTACGAATTGTCTCATCTTGATGTACCAATTTCCGCTGCCACCTCCCTTCTCCAAAACTTCCAGCAAACCAATGGCCCTTGATACAGCAATTCGTGCAGCACCTCAGAAGCATGTAGATATTCTACACCGATGCAAGCAATGAATCGCCCGGAACAACTGTACAGGGCGCCGCACATGATGCAGAGCGCCCGCCTCGGGGCTCAAGGGCTCGGTAGGTAAGGATTGTGCTTCATGCTCCCCATCTCCTGATGATTCCACCTGGACAGCATCTGCTCTTATATGAGGCGAAAATCCAGCTATGGCAAGCGCCTTCGCAGAAGACTTGGAAGTTCGGGATTGTTCGCCCAAAAGTTCCGCGCGATATTGGGGATCCAAAAGCCGCTGCTGACCGTGCCTTGGAACTGCAAACAATTCGATTGGCAAAGCTACCGCCTGAGACACATAAACCGCATAAACCGAGCCCTCAGCTTCTCTCGAAATTCCAGGAGCTTCCGATGTTCCTGGCTTCCTTCTTGTGCTTCCTGCATTGTTGCAATATATAGGCAGTTTGCAGGCCAAACATGTCCTAGCTGGGCATCTGGAGCTCCTGAAGAGGTGAAACTTCGATCAGGTGAACGCCCTTGTACCCTCTTGGCCTTAGGCACCACTATGTCACGGCAACCCAACGCTGTGAAAAAGCTGCTTCCGAGCAGGAACCCGGCACAGGTGGCGGGTGCCAGTGCCTTAAATCATGTGACTCCTGAAAGCGTCCGCCAAGAGACTCATGCCTTGCACGATTCTGTCACTTTGTCCTTGTCCGGCCCTTGAGCTTGGACAAAGCCAGGAACTTCGCCGATCTGAACAAACTCGCGCACATGCAAGAAATCATGATCAAGGATAAAGGCTTTTCCGTGAGCCTTTGGCACCGACCTCATGCTTTAACAAGAACACAGCAGGCAAAATCAGCACCGTTCAGCCTGTCTGAGATGTTGACGGCACGGGAAGGTCGCTCAAAGCTGCACGGCTCTGCTCCTCCTCGGCCTCCTGCTTTCAATGCGGGCGGCTTTGCTGGCTGTTCAGGCAAGATGGCAAGATGCAAATGTCGATCAAATTTCACCAGAAAAGGTATTTGCGTCAACCAAAAGCCGAAGGACACCGAGGTGTGCACGCGTGCATCCCCATGCACGTCGCAAGATGCAGTGTCTGTTGAAATGCCACGCTCAAGAGTGCTTGAAGTGGGTGCAAGGTTTGGCGCTGGGACAGCAAGTCCTGCATAAGACCTGTTTTCTGCATCATGGTTGGCATCATTGTATCGCAAATCATCAAAATCCAGACCACATGCCCCAAGCTTGACTCGGCATTGGTTCTTTCAGGCTTGCCTGGAACATGCTTTCCTGCGTTGGAGTCTCAAACGGAAGACCTGGTACCTTATCCATATCACAGGAATCGTAAAGCCGCCTGCAAATTACCCACTCGTCATGCAGTCATGGCTTCGATCAAACAAGACCAGAAATCATCCGACGTTTCATGGGAGAACCCTAAGGCTGCCAAGGCTGAGATGGCTGAGAGGGAGCACTGAACGCAGGCTCACACCACAACACACCCCTACGTGGCCGTGCGCACAACAGATTGGCAAACACTGCAACTTCATAACCGCCAAACCCTAAAGCCCTAAACCGACCGCTAACACCCTGTATCTCAAAACCCGAAATGAACACACTAAATGCGCCAAAGCCGCCAAGAGCCCCCAAGCATCGATAGGCCGAACCCTGAAATCCCAATCCTTCATCACCAAAAGCTTTAGACCTTGAAACCTTACTCCATGGTCAGACGAGCCAGTTCGATGGTTCGGGCAAACCATCTAACCTGCGCAGGACTTACAACAACGCCCTGTGTTTCAAGAACCTTTGCGAGCCAGTTTATGTGTACAAGAGCACGTTAAACTCAGGGTGATGTTAACTAACCCCACCACAAAGACCTTACGTAATCAAAAGTCACGAGTTTGGCCATGGTCGAGTAATTGTCTCAATGTCCCAGCCTGTCATGTAGCTTGCCCGAGAAAATACGCTTTCTAACGTCAGGCGTGCTGCTGCGCCGGCGTTGGCACCTGCCCTGCGCCTTTCAACTTTCTATTTTAGCGTAGACTACTGCCGCTTCGTAAGCTATCTTGCCTGGAGTGTTTGGACCAAACCTGGCAGATCTAAAGGTCCTCTGAAAAAATGTTCGATTAACGTAAATCTCGGAAAATGATTCTTTTGATGAACAGCCATCTCCGGATATTACCTGAGCGCTGTGGTGTCACAAAGGCACCACAAACACGGACTGAAAGATGTAGATACTGTTTCGAATGGCAGTTATCTTTTCTGAAATTCCGGTCGGGAAGAGGGTGCAGGGCTTGTATGACAGACTCTGTTGCACCTCACTTCACCGCAGGCAGGGCTTTTCTCCCCCTGGGTTTTTCCCTGGCTTGTATAGATGCGGGTTTCTTGTAAACAGTTTTAGCTTCCATGGAGCAGATGTTCATGAGACCGCGCGCAGCCTGAAGCTCCCGATGCCGGAGAAAATTCCAAATGACGCGTAGTGGCACCAAAAAGGTAGCACGCGGGCTCGTAGGCCCTGCGTTTTTTTACCGTATCTTGCTGCAGGAACCGGGAAAAATGCTTAAAACCTGGGTTCCGGGCACATGTCAATTCTTCGCGCAGAATCTGAAGCGGCCAAAAACCCTGAGACGGGCGGGCTTTTTTCACGAAACGGTGCTGGCGCTGTGGCGAAACTGCCCATCCAGAAGGGCTGATTTTGCAAACTTTGCTTGACACCTGAAATGTGAAGCTCAGGCACACGAACGGAAATATGGTTTGGGCATGGATGTTCTGGTCATCGTATGCTCTTGGAACACTAACGGAATTATTGTTTGGGCATGGATGCTCTGGTCACCATATGCTCTTAGAACACGATCGTTATTATGGCTTGGGCATGGATGCTCTGGTCACCATATGCTCTTGGAACACGAACGGAATTGTGGTTCGGGCATGGGTGCTCTGGTCATCGTATGCGCTTGGATCACGAACGGAATTATGGTTTGGGCATGGATGTTCTGGTCACCATCTGCTCTTGGAACACGAACGGAATTGTGGCTTGGGCATGGATGCTCTGGTCACCATATGCTCTTGGAACACGATCGTTATTCTGGCTTGGGCATGGATGCTCTGGTCACCATACGCTCTCGGAACACGAACGGAATTGTGGTTTGGGCATGGATGCTCTGGTCATCGTATGCGCTTGGAACACGAACGGAATTATTGTTTGGGCAT